GCCGCCGCTGTTGTTAGTTCTCCAACGGGGAGAACGTCACACGCCGAGCTGTGGCCGCATGGTTTGTGCCGGAGTGAACCGGCGTTCCTTCGGGGTAGGTGTCTGCGGGATCGCTTGCGCGACCCATTTGGCAGACCCTTGCCCTTTGCGCTCGACCGCCTCGCTTGGCGTTGATCGATTGTGAGGGAACGGTCTTCCGATGAGACTCGGGTAGAAACCGTAGGCGCAGAGGCTTGACCGTCTGAGGTCGCCTCGACGCACGACTCTGTGAACGTTTTGCGGGACGCATCGCCACAGAGAGCGAGGAGGACAAGTACTCTTCGTACTTGGCCTGGTCGAACTCAATTTCTAGGGACTCCACTGTCGTCCCTACAGCAACCTCATCAAACTGAGCCACCACCATTTCACTCGATGAAACAGCTTCTCCCACTGTGGTCGCATCTTCTGTAGGGTGAATATTTGATTCCCGAAAAAAGGGAGTTTCGTTGTATTTATAAGAAAGCTTATTACAAACTATGATCAAATAGTTACAACAGAAGCAGAGGGAAGGCCCTCTTTGTTTTGTGTGGGGACTTTTAGGTGGCTACAGGATGCTTCGCTCGATGCTCGTGTCGAGTCTGCTTCCTTGGACCGTTCGAATGAGGTTGCCTGGAGAGCTTCAGTTCGAGTAGAAGCTCACTTGAGAGAGTTCGGGTTGTTTAGTTCGCCGCCGATCGGAGCTCGGAACTAGCAGCTGGTGTCTGCAATGCAAAAATGGTTATGCAGAGAGCTTGTCTCAACTCTTTTCTCTAAGTTTTGCGACCTCTCCTCAGTGTGCCGGAAGTTTTTTAAATGGAGAAGGACAACTTGACTCCTCCTTGAATTGTGGGATTGTGACGCACATCTTCTAGAGACGTCTAGCTGTTCCTCGAACCATGACGGTCATTCCAGGATTGTGCTTTAGTCCTGTCACTACGATGGGAAGGCCCATTCTTGTATGTGAGGCAACAAACGACTGCTATCCGAGTGGCTTTGACAGCATTAATGAACCGCATTTATGAGTCCGCAGATCGATGAGGCGTCTGTCCGATCACCAGTACTGTACGTGACGCCCGGCGTGCTTTGAGCACGACGCTTTCTCCTTTCGCGTCAGGAGAGGCGGTGAAGTAGGTGTACAGTACTCGAGTGAGTCTAGCCAGCTTGCCGAGTGCCCGGCGGACCCAGCTTCAGACTCAGACACCGAGGTGAGTCGCATTTATGAATGCTCAGGTTGACTCGACACCTGTCCAGCTCTTCGCGCTGTGCGCACTGTGGCGGCCGTTTGACGGTCCTGGGTACTGTGCCTCTCTCCCTTTGGTCGAGGAGGTGGGAAGCCCCCTCAGCACGTGGGGTAGTGGATACCCAGTTCTGTACGACGGTTTTGGGGCTTGCTGGCCGGATTCGACTCCGACTCGGGCCAGGCGAGTTAGGCGAAGACAAATTTCCGCCATCCTGATCGCTCCTGACTCATGCTGGCGTCGAACCGTTTGGCGAACCTGATTTGAGCACAGTCGACGTCTACGCGTTTTAGGTGCCGTGTAGAGAACTGGGCGTGCGAACTCTTCTCGTAGACAAATTTCCTGTAGACCCATAGAGGTATTTTTTACCGTCTACAGGCATTTCGAGACCATTTGGATGAACTACGAGTAGCTTGATCCCATGGGAGAGGGGGTACGTAGGCAACCACATTGATGCAGCCGGATTTGGAGAGACGACACATTGGTGCTCTTATTGGTGTCGGCTCAGTTTTGGGAACATTTCGCCGAGGTGGAGAATTGTTGGATAGCAGGCTATTAGGTCAAAGAGGATTCCTAGTCTGTTTTGATTTTGGTTTTAGAATTGTTGGATTCCTAGTCTGTTTTGATTTTAGGGTTATTGGGATTCATAGTCTGTTTTGGTTTTGGTTTTAAAATTGTTGGATACCTAGTTTGTTTTGGTTTTAGGGGTTTCCATATATATAGAACGTTTTAGAAGAGATTATTATCAGAGATAAAAAGAGGTTGTTTTGAGCACTTTGAGAGGGAGGTTTCTGAGAGATGAGTTGAGATCTTTTGGTGAGGGTTATTTTGAGTGTTTGAGAGTTATAACCTATTATTTTTCTCCTCCATATAGTGAAACTCTATATCCTCTCCCCGTGGACGTAAGCAATTGCTGAACCATGCAAATATCTGTGTTTGTGATTGATTTTGACCGTTCTTTTGTGAATTGCACTCGTTGGTTGTTCTCCTCTCGTTGCTCGCCGATTCGTTTGGTTCGTGAGCACGCTTTCGCCGACGCGCAACATCAATCTGAGGGTAAATGTGCCAAAAAAATTTAACCCGGGATCTATCTGCAATAATGAAACTACACCAGTGTATTAAATAATAGATAGTTATAACTGAGAAACTGGTCACTTAATGTCTAGTCACGGTGGAGATCAATTAGCTGCAACCAAATTATAAGCTTACCATGAGCAATATACTTTTGTTTCTACCAAAAGGCAGCATTTCCTCCAAAAAAAACTTCCCTGATAAGTATCCTTAAATCTTGTTCAAAATGTGACAGGAGTGCTACTTTAATCAGAAGAAATATTGGTTTGACCCAGTTATTTTACAGCTTAAATTTGAATGACTTGTCAGCGTCAAAGTAGTTGAAGCAATTAAAATTTTACCAGACATCCAGTTCCTGTTCTTACTGGTTTGCTCTGTTACACTCATTAGCCTCTGTCATTTTGACACCTCGAACTAATGGCTACTCTGTCGTGCTTTAACTATGAGATGTGCCCAACAGCCAAATCAAGTCCAGCCTAGATTTGTATCAAATATTAGTATCAGGATTAGGAATTCCTGGGACTTATCATACTATTGTTTGCTGATTATATTAGATTTGTTGGCTGCAGCAACAAGTGGTTTAGATTGAAATATCAGATGAAGAGAGCTAGGAATGTGCTTGGTCATAACTTATGAGTAGTTCAGCTTACTTTGTGTTTGAAATAGGATATTACGGACGTTTTTGAGATAACCCCTTTAATTATTTTAATTCTGTAAAGTCCTCATTAACTTTGAGG